ACCTTTCAGACTTCAAAGTGCATATGAAGAAGGAAAGTTGATTTGTTCTTTATAAGTGAATGAATTAATGGCTTCATTACTTCTTCCTCACTAGGCCACCATGTTACATGCCCTTCTGTCCCAGCAAACTGGAGAGATCAGCTAAATATTTAGCAAGACAGTAATTGATAACATCATAGTAGTTTTTTCCCCTGTTAAAGGGCACAAAAAATTTATTTTAATTTTTATAACCTGAAAATGGTATCTGCCTGCCTGCCAGTAACGTGATGTTGACAAAGGGGGTAATTCAGAAGCTTTTAGAAGAGTCTATTTTTTAAATTAAAAAAAAAAATAAAAATAAGATAACATGGACAAAAAAATTTTGGATCTCTCTGAGTGGTAAGATAGTGATGGCCAGGCCAATGGATGACCAGACTACTGGAATTTCTGCCACATGCTAAGCTTGCAAATTCTTCTTCTAGCAGTGAGGAAAGATACACAAACTCGATGGAAAGCTGTTGAGGTATCATTTTGATTTTAGCTACAAACCTCCTTCTTTTAATCCTCCCTCTCTGAACAACCACATAGGAAAGGGAAAAATCCTTGTTTAGTTTAGACCTTACTTTTGACAGAATCCATAATTGAAATCCACAGGAACTGTGAATATTCTATAGGACTTTGTTGTAGCAGGGTGATGGCAATCAAAGGTATCTGTCTAATGAGTGCTGAATCTTCTGCTATGAGAACGTTAAATTGAGACCTTGAGAGGCACACTTGCTATTAATAGTGCATTATTTAAAAATTAACTATTGAGTATAAACAAACTGAATATAAACAAACTGGTGCCTTAAATAGTGTGTTTCAATCATTGCCTCAAATTCTTCAATTTTTTAAAAATTTAGATTTCTCAGATGACTAGAATAAAGAAAAAAAAAAGTGAGTGCATTTCAGATCTTCTGTCTAAAAGGGAAGAACTCGTATGCATGCATTTGGAAAGGATCATTCCAAAAGCTGGAAAAGGAATTACCATTTTGGAGCTACTGACACTTACTATTTTTAGAAAGCAGACATCCTGCATATGGAAAAGTATGTGAAACTCCATTTTGCATGAAGCCATGTAAACCATAAGATCCTACAGGGTCCTAATTTCAAGATGAAGAGAGTTAAATTATAGATTCTAATAGTATCTATAAATACTTTATCAGTCTCTGACATCTTTCTGTTTGCCTTTGTTCCTTATGTCTTTCTCTGTAACTTCTTTCCTTTCCACTGTCCAAGTCCTCTCTGTTCTTCAGAATGCACTAATTCTTTTTACATGTGCTAATAATATGGGCACATCGCCTTAGGCCTCAAATTTACAACCGAATCATTTCAAGACCCTGTGGAAGGTTTACCCTTCTTTGTTTTAAAAGTTCCCATGGACTCAGTTACGCAAGGTTACTTCAAAATCCCTTTTTTCTGCTTCCCTTGAGACTTTTTTTTTTCTCCCAATATAATATTGGCCCTGTTTCCGTTGTTAACAACATTTTGCTATTTTTAGGACAATTGAAGTTTATAAGTAAGAAATATGTTTAAAGTGGCTCTCAAATTTCATTCAGATCTGTATTTTCTCTATTTTAAATATAGTGCCCCCATATTTATTTCTTGCAAATATCTACATGTTAGTTTTGACTTTTTTTTAAAATACTTAGTGCTTGACTCTCCACTCTGTTATACTGGCTTTTTACAATTCTAAATTCCTGATGCAAAATGATCTACACAAAGCTAGATTTATTTTTCTGTTGTGTGCCTGATGTGGGGAAAATGGAAGAGGAGGAGGAGATGAGAGCAAATAACAGCTTATTCTGAAATGAGATTTGACCTAATTGTGGAACAACTTATGCTTGAGGATGTTCATGATCCTTTTTTGTTTTTACAAGACTGATAGTATTATACTTTTGCAGTTCTGTTCTCTGTTGTTGTGGGACAACTTAAGGCTGTCCCGTTGTTGAATTGCAAAGCCCTATCTTGAGAAAATAAGAGGCAGCAAGAATGTTATCATTCTTCAGAGAAGTGTGTTCCACCCACACATTTCTCCGTAGTACCTCCAAAATATGCTGTTGTATTCCTGCCTAGGCAAAACTCCAGTTCTGATTTGGGAGTTCAAAAGGAAAGTGAAATTTCTGTTAAATATAAATGTGCTTCCTGATGCCACTTTTAAGGCTCCCACCATAAAAACCAACTATATCTAATTTTAAGTCTCCAAGTAATATCTTTAAATCTTCAAAGTTTTTAAACATCAAAACCTGTTTAACTCTCCCTAAAGGGCAGTCTCCAGAAAATATTTCTGATATAAACAATATAACTCTGAATGTGAAAGTTCACGGAAGCCACTGTGGCACTAACTTCACATGGCAGATTTAAGCTGGAAGCCCAGGTCTCTCTGCACACCTATTTAGCTGCAAGCCTTTGCTGAGATGATCATTCAGTCTGATGATCACAAGATGGCCCTGCCTTCAAGCCTGCATCTGGCTACTGTGCCCATGGTTTGCTCCATGTTCATCAGGTGGTGAGGCTGGTCTCCAGTCCTACCTGGAAAGGTGTATTCTGCAAGAGCAACTGGGATTTGTAGGCCTCCATTGCTTGTCACCATCAGAGCATGCAGTTGGGCTATAGCTGACCTGTGTCCTGCCATTCTATATTTGTGGAGCCATTTCTCAGGACATACTGGGTCTTATCTCTGGCTTGCTGCCACAGGGAGTGCGAATGCATACTGAGAATCTTTCTCTCAACTTTAACAGGTTCTGGGTCAGGGCTGTGAAGTGCCTCATTGTCTCAAAATTGCCTCACGGTCAACATTTTAAGCATATGTGTAATGCTACACTAGGCTTTTAATCACGTGTACTTTACTGCACAGACAATTAGAAGCAAAAGTAGCAGTGCTATGACTAGTCTGTTGCTTTAAAGGTCAGTGAAAGAATTTAATAGCAAAGGATATATATATATTTTTGGTGGTATGTACTGGTAATTTTCGTTAGCACTGGAACGATGTGTTCAGAGAGAAAAGACAAAAATAGTATAAAAAATAAAACAATCAAATGCAAAATGGACACCATATACCACGTTCCCCTTCCAGTGCAAAGTACAGCATCTTTCTGTTTTAACTGTATTCCTCTTTGAAAGAATGAGTACCAGTACAGAGATCATCTGAGATTAGCTCTGTAAAACTGTATTACCATCAAAGGGCTCATCCATATCATGGAGAAGCACTCTCAGAAATAATCCAAGGGACTAAATTTGACTACTTGCCTCATTTTTATCTTGCCAAATTTTTTTTTATCTTTTGGACCTGATGTTTGTTTATTTTGCCTGTGTGCTCCTTTCTTCTTGGACTTTGATAAACCTCCAGCATGGAAGAGTGAGAAATTAATGTGTTTCACTTCCACTTCTCCCTGAGGTCACAAGTAATGGAAATATGAAATTTAACCTATTGCAAGTTACTATTTCTAATATCTGCCTTGGTGCAATTCCATGAATTTTGGATCTGTGTGCTGTTTGATATAGGGGTGGAGGATTCAGCAAATATAAAATACTAGTACTGTATTATTAGTGCTTAATTAAGACATAATAAAACTTACTATGGAGGAAGGGACTAGGAGAGAAAATAGAACAGTGCTCTGGATTTTCTCATATGATTGTGCTATTTGGTATTTAGTTGACCTGGGTGAGAGTTCATAAAAAGGTGGAAGGACAAAGATTTTGTCTATGCATATGTAAGATTACTAGCAAGAGTATTTTTATAGTGACTGTCCTTATGTCCATTGATGTTCGTGTTGCTGTGTTAGCCAGTTTTTGCCCTCTCAGGCGTGCAAAAAAGATTTGCTTTCCTATTAAATTTCCAGAAAGATGACAAAATTATTGTGAAAATTGTAGTTTTTCCTAATTTGTCTACTGTAGAATTTTTCTGCTTTTGTTGACAAACATAAGCAATGGATGCTTGATTTGTACCTAAGTTCTGTTCAGCAATACTTTAAGTAGTTTGCTGTTGTGACATTAATTACCTATGGTTAATGAGTGCCACACTAATGGCATTTTCTTTCATTTGCAACTGCACTTTGTTTGCCTGAGCAAAATGTGACTCATTAGAATGCTGCACTGTGATCTACAGAAACTGCAAAACTGATTTACCTTTTACTTTTTTGGTTTGTTTTTAATATCCACCAAAACATGCCAGAACACATAAAATCAGATGTAGGGTTTGGTCTTAAGAGCTCAGGAGCGCACAGGTGCTGCTTGCCCAACATGCAGTGTATTTAAACTGAGGCCTGTTCTAAGTGATACTTTTATAAACCAGAACCTTTGAAAAGTAGAATTGTCTTTAAAACAACCACATGGCTCTACATAATAAACTGTGGTAGGGCTCAGTACTTTTATTAGCTAATTAAACATTTGCTGTATTAAAAGAAATGCTTTTGGAACACACACCTGAATTTATAACAAAATTCATTGTGTGTTTCTGCCATGTGGAAAGGAGGCACATCTGGGATAGGGTGGGAAAATGTGAAAAGAAGCTTTTCCAATTGCTTAGAAATGAGTTTGAAGTTTATTTTTTTGAGTGAAGTGGTTAGTTTAGGAGGGAGCTCAGCAAGTTCTGAGCTGGACAGGTTTTCCCATTGGTTTACTGAACCTGAAAGAGACACTGATTTATAAGAAGCATGTCTTGCAAGTTCCAGTTCTTGGCTTTCCCTAGATACAAGTGTCATAACATGCACTTCTCACTAAATAAGACCACCATCTGCAAACATCCCCCTGTGGAATTCCTTAGGCATCCTCCAGAAAAATGTACTTTTGTGTACATTGTCCTTTAAAATAAAGCCTTATCTCCAGAAGCATCACCTAATAATTTTGCTAGAAACCTCCCTGTTCTCTGTAAAATTCATGAAACAGAAAACAAAATCTGAATAAATGATAACCTGCTGAGCCACTTTCATTCACTGTTGTAAATGAAGCTCTAACTTTGTTTTTTATCTCCAACAGACAAACAACAGAAAGGTGAATTTGCCTTAGAGGGCTACACCATCAGAATGAATAATAGCCTTCGGAAGGATGCAAAGAAAGATTGCTGTTTTGAAATCTCCGCTCCTGATAAGCGCATTTATCAGGTTGGACTTTTTAATGTTGACTTGAAATTAAATTGATAAAGCCGTTACAATTCCAGTTACTGAATTAGCATTTTAGTAAAACAACTTTTACTGACATCTTAATGAAGAAAAGAAAACCTTACTTGCTTATATTGTATATTCATATATTATGAAAAAAAATCTGATTTAAAATATGTATGCATGTGTTCAAATATTATCTTTTTGGACAAGAGCAAGGCAATCTATCATCTTTATCTATTGGTCATTTCAATGTTAGCATTTTAATATCTATTGTATAGTATGTCTGCATGATTTCTTGGATGAATTAAATGGTAAAAAAAAGATAAAATATATATTAGTGTTAAATACATATTGTATTGGTCATGGCTTTGCAAGGAAAATCTACGTAAAGGCATATATCAGCTGTGCAATTCAGAGATCTATCAGCTAGACATCAATATGGAATGTAAGTTTAATAAGTTTTAAATATCTGAGATTGCAGTTGAAAGCCAGTTAATTAAGCTGTCAGGTAGTGTGTTGGAGTCTGACAAGAACATTTTTAAGAAAACTGTACCCAGCAGTCTAAAGAAATTCATGGGTGTCTTCTAATTGTCAAGGGCAAATTTTGTTCATCAGTTCTGGCTTTGACATTGATGAAGAGAAGCAGCTTTTTTCTGCACAGCTGCCAGCTGCTGATCAGAGTTTCAAATCCATCATCCTCTCCTTCAATTACGTAAATTTGTCAAAATTAGCTGTACATTATAAGAAGCATCCTTGCAAGAAAAGTACCAGAAGACATGAAAAGAATTACTAATGGTTTTTTGAGGAAGTTATGAGAATGCTATAGTCCCTCTTTTTTATTGCTAATGAAATTGTAGTTGTGTTTTTGTCATTACTGCTAGTAGTTATTAATAAACGTTTATTAGTTTACAGCTGCCACTCCCAAAGAAGCAGAGGAATGGGTACAGCAAGTCAAATTTGTAATACAAGGTAAGCCAGCCTGTAGAGCAGTAACCTTTATTACCTATACTGCTTAGTGATGGTAGTTCTGTCCATTAACACACCTGTCATGTTTGTATTTCTAGTATTCCCACTTGTCCAAATTTTGAAAAGCAAGTCCTAGTTCTCAGTCATGTTGTAGCTTTTACATGACTTTTCTCCTTTTGCAAAATTTTTGCTTTTTTCCAGGAATATATTTAGCTTGAAAGCTCTTCCTTATGAACACTGTAAGAAAATATGCAGAATATATTGCACAAGCTCATAGAAGATGAATTATGTTTTCATTTTGCATAAATTTCTGCTTAGGCTTTCTTTTCTAGTAAATGTTAACTTTTTAAACTGCTGTTACATAGATATGGAATCTAATACTATTCCTGAGGAGGAGGAAGAGGAGTATGACGATGTTGGACAAGTGAGCAGTGAACCAATAGATGATAGCATTTATGAAGAAGTTAAAGGTATCGTTGAGATTTTTTACTTTGTGACTTGTGATCATTTTGGCTTCTCTACTTCTAGTCTGATAACTCTTGAGTGGCTAAAAGTGAATGAGTAAAGTAGCCTGATGAATAAGATACTTTCAGATTGCAAATTTTGCTATGACTGAAAAAAAAAAGAGAACAGCTCAGTTTTCTTTAGCAAGGCCTTCAAAATAGTGCAGAATGTATAAAAGTGGTCTCAGGGGACTTCTTACTCATTAACATTCTTTGGTATGCAGTTTTTTTAAATTAAAAAATTGTCTTGCCTTACAGCCTTTCTAGCTAACTTGCCCATAATTTTTTTTTCTTTATTCATTTTTTCATTTGTATTAAGCAAAAGTTCGGCATCAGTCTGTATGTTATCAGCTGCTGCCTCATATATGATATTATAATCCTGCAAGAAAGCAATGTGTTGGTTTGAAAGGGCTCTGGAGATGAACTGTAAATAAAGGCAACGCGAGTATTGACATTGTTTTGATTCGTATCTTCCAGCATGACTATGATTATACAGAAACTTTTTAATGTGGACTTTCTAATGTGGTCAAATGCCTCTAGATGTATCTATCAGTATCTAGTCCAAGTGTATCTATCAGATGGCAAAACAAAAGAAAAAGAGCTTGGCAAAAGCTCTTGGAGTTGATTATAGACATTCAAATATTAGGAGAAAGGTGGTCATTCTTGATTATATTTTAAGAAGCTATGAAAAAACCCAATTTTTCAGTTACCATTTGTTAACAAATGATATTTTAAAGTGATATGACAATTAATAATCACTTTGTGTGAAATAATGTTCTGCTTCTCTTGCTATTTGGTACAGTGCAATTATGAGCATTAACTTGAGAGGAAAAATTAGTTGTGTCATGTGATGCTGACTAACTTTATGTATCTGTTAGGTTGACTATTCTGACTATTGGAGAAAAGAACATTTTATAGTATGCCTTGGTTTTCATTTTAAGATCATTTAAGTGAACCAAGGGAGCAGAAAACATGACTGACTGGTGAAAATGATAATAATAAAGTTGTAAAATTGTAGCAGCAATCAGTTCTTTAATTGATTTTTTTTTTTTTTTTGTTCCATTTCTTTGAATTGTACCTAGACTACTTCAGCATAGAATACTTATTCTGCTGAAATGGGGTGCAGTGTGTCATGAATGCTGCAAAACTCTTCTGCAGTGAATATAAAAACTACATTATAGGTCTTAAACTTATAGCTAGAGGATACAGCCAAACCTTATTGCAGTGCTTTTTGGATGCTCAGGCTCTTACAGAAGGTGATCTTGTATGCCTCCCTATGCTTTTGTTAAAGAAGCTCTAGATGTATCCTGGGATAAATTACTCTTTTCTGAGCTTCACTTATCTTACCTGTTCATTTGAATCTCAGATAGTAACTAGATCTGGAGCAGTAACACATACAATATTGGTAGAGGGCCAATAGTTAATACATGCTTTGAGTTCTGCCTTGGTATGATTCTGCAAGAATTTACAGTATTTTTATTTGTATCCCATTTTTATGTCCGTTTTCCAGGAACTGTTGTCTCCTAATGTGGCTAATAAATCTGAAATGTAACAGAACAGCTACCACAAAGAAAGGATAGCTCTTCTGTTATTCAAGAAATCTAGTTTGAGTTTTCAGTTAAACTGATTTCTTTCCCCATGATCTTGGAGTAGGGCTTCATTTTCATGTTATGAAGTAGGGATTATCTTTCTTTATCTCATGCTTTCTCTATCTCGTTTATTTGAATTTTAAACATTTCACGAAAGACCATATTACCTTGTACAGTGGAGCTCTTAATTTTGTCTGTGCTGTATTGGCATAACTAAGTAAGAATAAAGCATAAGTTTGCAATAGAATTTAGGTGATTAAAGCATCTTTTTGTCTTCCATGAACGTGCTTTAATAGTCATTTGCTTAAACACAATTAAAAATTTATGACTCTGATGCATTAGAGCAGTCCTTCTTTATCCATAGCTTATTGGAGAGTATTGGATGAAGTGCTAGTTGACAAACCTCACAGGAGTAAGCTTGGTTTGGTTCCTGTATAGCTATTCATCTAAACTTGATAAAAGAGCATACTCCACTTTGGTCTCATATGCGTTAATTAGGCCTGATTGGTTCCATTTAATTGTAGTTGGCTGTCCTTTCTATTTTCCCAGGTAAGTGAATTACTCTTTTTTCCTTTCATGGTCAAAGGGTGGAGCATCATTATCCCTGCTGTTACCTGACTTTATAATACAGAGCAAATAAGGAATTCTGAACTCCTGTTAAGAGAATAGCAAAAAAGAATTATTTGTACAACCCAGAAGCTATGCAAAGCTCTGGAATGCAGAAGACAAATGTGTTGGATCCCTGTGAAGAGGGAGAAGAAATTAATCTTCGCTTTGTTTTTATCCTCAAAGCATCTTGACGTTAGAGGCTTCTGATTCTCTATTTTTGCAGATCCACTAGCCTTATAAATGTTGAATTTCAGGTACACAGCTCATTGTACTCTGTTATTATTTATTTGGCTATAACTTGCAATTTCTCAAGTAATTAAAATTTTGCATTTCTGTGGTTCTCTAGTGTTTTTTGTATCTGCATTTCAGAAGCAAATTAAGCCAGTTCATGATGCAGTCCCACTTTATAATATTGGGCTTGGTATTTGAATAAAGAGCGTTTGGATTAAAAAGAGGTTATGGAAATTTTTGCACAGTTTTGAAAATTGGGAATTTTGGAGAACTGTTGCAGTAATCAGAACTGACTGTTGCTGTATTCTCTAGCTATCGTATTTCCGCCCCCACTCCCCACCCCGCCAACCTGTGGCAGGAGAGAATGTGGGTGAATTTTCCAGGCAGGAGCTGAATAGTTTCAAACCAGTATCCAGAATGGTAACAGCCTATTAAAAACATAGATTTCAGTGGAATTCAATTTGTACTGTCTGCTCACAGGAGGAGTAGGTTGATAGTTGGAGGGGGTACAGAGAGAGGTGGGAAAATTAATCTTTTGATCTGTTGAGTCACTTTCTTCTTTAATAGCACATACAAATTCATATTTACCATAGAAGCATCATTTTCCTTGTCCCTATTAGTCAGTGTTTTACTGTAGTTGTTCAGGTAGACTCAAAAACGTCAGAAATGCCAAAGATTTCCCAACTTGTAAAACCTTCCTTGCAAGATTCTTCAGGAATAGAAAGCTTTATAGTGTCTTCAACAAACTAAGCTTTTGTCTTTTTATTTTTTTAATAAAAACATGGAGGGAAAAATTGATTAAGCAAAATTAAAAATATTGTCAATTAAGACCCATTTTTGCTTAATTAGCTATTTATTTTCTACCTTAGTACACTATACATTTTTGCATTCCACAGCTGGATATTATAAAATGTAACATAAAATAACTTTTAAAACTGTAGTGTTAAATAACTCTGTGTGTGTAGAGCTACCTAGATGCATATAGTTTCTATCTTAGTGATGTTTTAAACAATGGAGTTGTCCTTGTCAGAAGAGAGAACACTTTAAAGATGATGTCATCTGCTACAGCCCTTGAAGACCAATTTTTTTATTAACTTGGGATTTCAGTGACATAATTTTTAAGGACCTTCAGTATTGTCTTCTGTGGTTTCACATCGGTATGGAGCACACACCCAAAACTGCGATGTGAACTACTGCCTCCCACTCTGTTCCTTTCTACAACTTCAACTCCACTTGTGTGCTGTCTACAACACTCTTGCACAACAGGAGAAAAGAGGTGTTAATGTAAGCTAACATACTTATCTTAATTTTCAGTCATGTTGTCTTTTTTGTTGTTGTTTTCTCTCTGCTCACAAACTTGCATTATAGCAGATGGTGTAGTTTCCATTAAATGATTCTAAAAATAAGGTTTGATTACACAGAGAACTTTTGGGTGAGAGAGGTAAGGACCGTGAAATTCAGTGCTGTGGTGATCTCTAGCCAGGGCAACTGCTGTGGAGAACTAACCCAGCCAATACAGTTTAGTCTGCTGTAAATTAAATTTGGGATTGATTCAATCTCTGATTGGTTAAGCCCAAGTATCTGGCCTATAGTTGTGTTTTGCAGTGTAGATGGAAGCTTAGCTAGGGAGACTAACTAGGGCAAAGCGCAGGGAAAGGTAATAAATGTCTTAAGTTTTATACAACAGGAAGCATGCTATGCAAATTTGTTTACTTATTTTAAACCAAGTATTTTGAATAGTTTTAAAATATATTGATGTTGTTCCAGAACTTATTTCTGACATTGTGCGTGAAGGTAGGGAATGATTGTCCATCCTGTCTCTGTCTCATGGTTGTCTCTTTAAGCAGCTTTGTCATCTTAATTTTTTCTAACAGTGAACCTCTGCAGTTAAGCAGCATAACTTAATACCATCCTCACCTTCTCTTGTTGTTGGATTGCTTGAGCTTTGAAGCAGCAAATTGTTGTTATGATGTTGTACCCCTTTCGTGAGCGTGGAGGGTGGGGGAAAATAGAACGTGATCTCTGATTTACCTTTTCTTGGGAAGAAGGAAGTAATGGTTGTGTAGTGCAGTTTGAGTTTGTTTGATCTGTCACTCGTGAACACCGACTCATAGCAAATATTTGTGTTCTCAAAATGTAGTGTCAGATGTATTGACTTTTTGGCACTAGAAGTGAAGATTTCACAGTGCTGTGTTAATGAAAATGCCTTTTCAGGAGACCTTTGCTTATTTTAGAGTTTTCAATATATCACAATCAGGGTCTGTGGGCCCAAAATAGCATTTGGTGTCAAGCAGTCCCAGTTGCGAATTACAGCTGTATAATCAGTTCCTAAAACCAGTAACCTAAAATGAAGAAACTGTTAACTGATCATTGTAAACCAGAACAGTGAAGTCAGCAGAGAAACAGGTGATTATGGAATCTGAGGTGTTACTTGTGATCATTGCTGTTAGGACAGTATATTATATATCCTGGTATACTGTCTAAATTCCTCCCAACATCTGTTGCTTGCCTCAAGTAGTTAGGGAATTCTTTACTTCTTGTCCACGGAAGTATACAATGCTGATGTGCTATCAATTTTATTTTTATTTTTTCCACGGAAAGAATTCTAAGTGTTTTTAATTAGTAAATGAAGTGCTTTCCAAGTATAAAGTATAAGTAGGGTCTGGAATATTTGCAGCTGAAAAAAACAAATGTGAGATCAGAATTTTTGAGGACAGTACTAAAGATAAGTTTCCAGAGTAATTACTGAAAGTGTTTTGAATAATTTAAATTAAAACATCTTTCAGATTCAAAAATACAGCAAGGGATTTTTTTTCTTTTTAAAGTAGTGAGGATAAATCATTCTTCAAAACAATTTTGTCAAAGATTAGATCTCAGTATTGTTAAGAAATTAATAGATTCATAGAATGGTCTGGGTTGGAAGGGACCTTAAAGACCATCCAGTTCCAACCCTGCTGCCATCATCAGGGACACCTTCCACTAGACCAGGTTGCTCAAAGCCTCATCCAACCTGGCCTTAAACATTTCCAGGGAGGGGACATTCACAACTTCTTTGGGCAACCTGTTCCAGTGTCTGACCACCCTCACAGGGAAGAATTTCTTGCTAATATCTAATCTAAATCTACCCTCTTCCAGTTTATAGCCATTGATATTTTTCACTTGTTTAAACATTGTGTTATTTTTATATATGGAGTATTTCTGCCCGTAATATCTTGCTGATAGGTGAAGTACCAGAATAAGGAGAAGAAGGTGCTACAGGGCTTTCTCAGTTTGCTGTAAATAAAAAATAATTAAAATAATACAAGAGTAGTGAAAAGCAGATGTAAATTACCTTTTGGTGTCAAGGAATAATAAAGATTTTTTTTCTGTCCAAGATGTGTGGTTTTGTTGTCTTGATCACTGGGATTTGGGGTCTACTAAGTGTCTTTGATTATATGCCAGACATGCAAAAGGTTGTTGAAAAACAACCTCTTTCAACTGTATACTGCTGAATCCCAACTGCTATGATGAAATGGAGCTGTGTCTGAATTCTCTGTCACTCTGGGTTTTGATGCAGTACACTTATGGGATTTATATATACCATGGAGTGTCCTTCAGTTATTACTAAATGCTCAGGAGACATGAATTAAGAATTCAGACAACTTTTTGTATTTAAAGACATTGCATCCAGAAAATGGTTAGGAACTTGATACCTGGACCTCAGCTTTTGTTTGCCACAAGAGCTTGGGCTTTATCTTCAATTAATGTAATCATACATCTAAAGAGGGAACCTTTTCTTTCTATTGATGTTAGGTGTCAGTGATGGAAGAGGAGGTAAGGCAATCTGGTGTAGCTGGAAAGAATGAGATGTCCATTGAGTGGGAAGTGGCAAATCTTTGGAAGGAAAAATAAGGTTCACAGGCTCTTCTGTGTTTCTTGTAAAGTGAATATAAAGTGGTGGTCTGTGAACAACAGGTGGCCCATAGCTGTCAGGAAGCCTACTGTCCATGATGCAATTTGACCCCTGTCCCCTCATCACACGCACATTCACAAATGTGCAAGTGGAGAGGCCACTAAAAATGGAATAATAATTGAGTATTCATATTGAGTCTGGATTTGCATGTGAGGGGTATATTGACTGGCTGGACTTGGGGTGGGGTTGTCTACTGAGAAATACTCTTTTCTAAGAGTATTTTTTCTTTATTTAGTGATATACTTCTGCTGCAGAAAATTTGGTCAGCTATGAAATTCAAAACAGTTAATTACAATATCTACATTAAATGGAAAATGTGTGCTGCTAAGTTTAGGCATTTATTCTCCTGTCCTTGAACTGCATGCCAGACTTCATAGTTTTCAGACATTTAACTTCATAATTTCAGAGTTTACAAGTGGAGAAAACAGAAGCAACCTTCCTGAAGTTGTGGTCATCTGTTATAATAAATTAAGTAAGGTCATGTTGGAAAGCTGTGTTTATCAAAAGTCTTAGGTTGTCAAAGGCTGAATTTTATTTCTGTATTTCAGAGCTTAAAAAAAAAAACAAACAAAAAAAACCCCCAAAAAACCCTAATGCCCAATCAGACAAAAAACCCCAAACTCCCCCAGCCAAATAAACCAGGAATAGATCATTAAATCTGCATTGTCTATTGGCATTTTGAAGCTTGTTTACTTAAAATTAGAAGGCATAACTTAATAATATCTAAAAAGGAAGTACTTTTAATCATGCAGTTTTATGTTTAAAGAACTCTTTAAAAAACTAATTAGCACACAACTCATTGAAAAGAATTTACTTATTGGAATAAGCAAGTACTGATCAGTCATTTTTCTACTATTTTCTGTGCATCAGCACTAAACAACTTTTGACACTATTGATTTGTAAAACCAATCTGATGTGAACAGTATGTGACAGAAGTTATTTGTTATTAAGAGAGAGAATCCTGCCTCAGAAAAGCTTGTCATCCTGGCGAGACAAAAATAACACAAAATAATTTTACTTGTGTCATTGTTTGTGTCATTGTTTTTTCAATGTTGACTCTGTTTCTGACAGCCAGCTTCATGTTCAATGTGAACAAAGCTTTGTTCGTGTGTGCATGTCTTTGGTGGGTTATGGACCCAAAGCTTGTTCTTTTGAAAGCAAAGTAATTTTCTTTTCTTTTATGTTTTTATCTAATTAAGAAGCAGTGCAATAATTCTAATGCAAAGCACTCAGAAAAAATGTCTTGATATGTGGTGAGATAGTTTATTAACCATAGATTTGAGGAATTGCTGTAGTTTAGCAAGTTCAAAGCGAAATGTCAATTGTATTATGTATATTTATAAAAGCAGAAATGTTGGGCTTGCTCTACTGCTTGGATATAACTGTGATGAATACTTTATAGCTAGATCAAGGAACCTTTATTTTTTGAATTTTTGACAGATGACTGCATATCAGGCTATTAAAGCCATTAGGCAGAGTTTTTTGAGAAACAAGAGCAACCAGAGGTTATATGATGCCTCAGGCTATCACTTCTCAACTTTTCTGGTTTCCACAAGGTAGCTATTAAAGAACCATAATTTATACAACTGGATTCTCGAATAAGACCCAGCAAGGTGGGCTTTAAAGGCTGAATTAATCACTGTTGCTGCAGATACAAATCTCTTATTTGATTTTTTCAGCCTTAAGAAAGACATCAGCATAAATCGTTCTGTATGTGTCTTTTCCTCTCAGTGTGCTTTTTATCTGCTACTCACTTTAAATTCCCACTGTCCTGAAAATGGAGAAATTAGCAAAAAAAAAATTACTACTAATTAACCAGAGCTTCATTAATTTTGCTGGTCATGTGCATGTATACCTGATTTGCTTATGTGTTACTGTACTGTGTTTGCAATGGATGTTATGTTTAGTGTTCACCTATACAAGGAAGGCAATATAGGAAAAGGCTGCCTGTTTCCTTGTCTTGCCTGCTGCTCCCTGGGCTGTGTAGGAGTCTCTGAAAGATGCGGGTTGGTCGCTCCTAGGAAAAGAAAATGGTCAGCAGGGTTGAGCTCTCAGACCACACAGTGGACCAGGCAGAAAGGGCAAGATGCAGCAGTCTGCTATGCCCTAGACTAGAGAGGGATGCTCCAGGGAAGTGCAGGTACACAGATAAGCGTCAGCAGCAAAAGGAAGAATGTTTTCTTAAGAAACCAGAAGAGGCTGAAGAAGTTTTTTGGCAAGTCAGTGAGATTTGGATTAGAAAGCAAAGCAGGAGGAAAATTTTCTCATCCAGAAAGGACACAGTTGGCACAGGGGATATTTTGTTTTGGTCTTTTTTTTCTTTTTTTTTTTAAAGTCTGCTTTTTCCTGGCAGATCTTGGTTTTCTCCACCTAAAAACTCTTGAGTTTGTTCTGATGAAAACTAGTTTTAAAATCTCGGGAACTGTCAATATCCTTAAGGAAGAGGTTCCAGTACTTCAGTCTTTGGTTTGTGGAAGGGTTTTGTCTTAGCAGGCTGTAGCAATTATTCTGTCCTTCAGTCTTGAAGGCAACAGTGAGTAAAACTGGGAATTAAAGGAAGGAATCTCATTTTTAAAACAAAGGACTGTCTGTGGAAAAGCCTGTGGATCTTAACATGAGGGTCATCCTTCCACTGTCCTAAAATATACTAACTTGCTTCCATACCTATCTCAAATTCATTTCCTTAAGAAGTGAGCTGTCTCCATTACTAAATGTTGAACAGTAGTTCCAGATAATTCAATAAACAAAAGTTCAAGATGGATACAATTTTGTCATAATTTCCATATGGGTCATAAGACCCAATATCTGGTTAAACTGCCTAGCTCTGATCTACAAATGGTGGCCCTTACAGTGCATCTGGGACTGTGTTGTGTCTCTGGCATGAGAGCTGGATAATGCAAAGCACTGGCAGCAAGGGAATTTAAGTAATCTGGGACACTGGGGACCTTGTGTTTTTCTGCATGCCAATCCCACGGTAACTGCCTGGGGAGCAGTTGTCATCTCTTCTTTATGAACCATTTCCAGATCCCTGCTGTCCACCCTCATCCCTCTGAGGTGTGTCATGGTATGGGGCATGTCGGGCTAGTAAGATGAAGCATCCAAACTGGCTGGTCCCACTCTGGACCGATTGTACGAGAATGGGGGAATTGGATGCTATTTCTAGAAATGAATGTGGGAATGTTACCCAAAATATGGTATGTGTAAACAATCTGCATGGCAGCTATAATTTTCTCCTTATTTCTGATTTAACCTGATTTTTGTTTAATAGTGAATCATAGCAAGAATATTTTAAAATTACTTTATTTCATCATTTAAGCTGGAGGAAGGATTTAGCATAGTTGACATAATTTAATATGATGGCATGGGCCATAAACAGTGAAAAGAGGCAGTGCTGTGGGTTTGTTACTTTTCGTGAAAATACCCAAAGGGTGAAAGCTGCTGATTTTTTTTTTTTTTTCTTCGATGTGCAGTTAGTGATCAACACAGAGAATGCAAAAATGTCTTGGTAGAACATTTCTAAAGGAGTTATAAGAGAAGCATCTGGGAGCCAGACTTTTCTTGTGGAAACATGCCAACAACTGTATTGTGTTTCCTTTCACTAAAGTGAGCTATGCTGAAATGCCTTGTCTTCTGTCCCTTTTTTGAGTAAGTTCATTTCTGAAATCAGACTATAAATTTGAATAGTTTAACCGTGCAGATTATTAAAGGATATTATATGGTTTAAACAAGGTGCTTGCTTTATGAATTGTATGTATGTAAATATTATGTCAAGTCACATTTGTCATGATTAGGGATATGTAGTTTTCAGAAATGACTTTTAAATTTAAATCTTGCTTCTGATCAACGAGTATGGGAAACTTTACTTGACATTTACAGGCTTTTTTTCTGTGTATCATATAAGTTTAAGCCTGAGAAGTATAACCCCTGTACATGGTTGTCAAATAACACTGTAGTTCAGAGTTATATGGTATAGATTAGTTAATTGAATATTTGATTGCTAGATGTATTTACATCGAGAAGTATTTATATTTTCTATATAGATTTTAATAGCCACCACATTTATTTTAGCAAAATATTTTATTAATAAGGTTTATAAAATGTCATGTTGAACACTTAAACTATTTACGTAACTAAGAGCTATTACGAGAACAAACAAATTTATTTTAGCTACAGTGAATTCATATAAATCTTTATTATGTGTATATATACATATATATATATAAAAGAAAGTACTTACGTGCATGCCACATGTATTTAGGCAAGCAATCTTCAGTGCAAATTCCTGTGAAACTACAAT